TATTTAAGCAAATATGAAATGAGTTTTGAGTAACTCAAAGTAGAAGCGATTCGTCTGGTATTCTAGGTCGATTGTATTTACTGAATTTGGTGTAATTTATATGTTTTAATTAAATTGCATATAATTAAATTTTAATTTATTTAATCAAGCATCAAACTATATTATATTATATTCCGTTCTGCTACTTCTAGATCTTATATCACTATATATTTTAAGATTGTGAAAGAATGAAATCAATAATCGAGCTCATTCACAATTGTTATTTCCTTTAATTATTATTATTTCCTCATAAATTAGTGATCAACTCTATGTGTATATTATCACAGCTCAGCTTTAGCTCCACTTAGAGAGAGAGAGAGAGGGGAAGTGTTTGTCTGCTGCACAGCTCCACTTATTAAGCGGGGAACTGTTTGTTGACTTGCTGTGAAGATGTAGATGTGGGTTTGCTCGAGCACAGCTGCTGCTGGTTAACATAATTTTCGTGGGCATTTTTGCAACTCATTTTTGACTGCGAGCTAAAGAGAATAACAGCAACAACAACAACCACAACAACAGGCGACCAGCCAACAAAAATATAAAAAAACATAAAAATAAAAGAGAGCGCAAAAAAAATAAACAGAGAAAAAAGCTGAATACAACTTTTTCCAACGAATAAATTTCGAGTTTTCGATAGTCTCGGTCTGCCACAGACTGTGTCGTTGTCGACGTTGCTGTTGCTGGTCGTCCAGACAGACGGAGACCTGGCCAGCAACAACAACAACAACTTGCAGTCTGAGTAGCTGCGCTCTACGTGGGCTCCAACAGCGTCAGACTGTCTGGTATGCCACGCTCTCACTCTTGCCGCAGTATGTGTGTGTGTTTGTTGTTGTATGTGTAACGGCACTACGTTTCGTGATTGCCACATGTGGCTCCTTCTCTGTCTGTGTGTGTGTGTGTGCAGTTGTCGCTGCGTTGTCTGACTGTGTCTGGCCTCCGTCTCTGCCCCGCTCGCAGTCTGTCCTTCCATCTATCCATTTGTCTCTCTGTCTGTCCGTCYGTCTGCATCGTCTGACTGTGTAGGCGTCAGCCCCTCGTCATCATCATCATCATCATCACGAGCTGGCGCTCGCATTGGCCAATGCATAAAATTATACAGAGACATGACATGGTTTTGAATAATTAAGCGGAACGCCAAATGGCCTCCGCTGCCACGCCTTCCCTTTTGACCGTCCCTCTGGAAGGTCTGGCGACTTTGTAGAGTGCCCAACATGTGCATTGCATTGCAGGGATTGCTTAACACTCACACACACACACACACACACACACACATACAGAGAGAGTTATCCCCTACATCGTTGTCATTTTACAACTCAATTTCGAAAGGATTAGAACTTTTGCCGCCTGAGTCCAAGGACTTAACTTTGAAGCTTTGGAGCAAATGCATTTGGCAACCATTTTGGAGCAGTCGCGGCGCTAGAGATTAAACCTAGTTAGCCATGCTAACATTTTATATTAGCGATGGGCGTGTCTCGTGCGTGAGTCTTGGATATAAATAAATATTTTTCGGATATATATAGATAGATATACATATATATATTCAGATTAAATATTTATTAGCCTTAAATTTTCTCTGCGACTTTCTATGCAGCGACCTTCTTTCGTGTCACGCACGACACGCTGTCAGCACTGGCTTCTAGAAAGCATTCAGSCACAATGACAGACATTATTGACAGCTGAGAATTGTTGGCTCATTTGAAACACACTGGACACAGGTAAAATGTTTGCTGCTGCTGTTCTTGTCATTGTTGTTGCTGTTGCTGCT